CCAGTCTCTCCCGATCAGCACGGGGACGGGAAGATCCTTCATTACCCCAACTTCCACAGGCCAGGCGCTGGGAGCGGCAGAAATGGTCACCCTGCGAGCTGGAACTTGTCGTGTATCTCCGTGGACACAGGTTATGGGGAGGAAGGTTTTATACTCCATTCGTGGGGCGAGAATGTGAGACTGTACCAGAGTGACCGCACTGCCGGAGTCCAGGAGGGCCCGGAACGGCTTCCCATTTACTTTCAAGTACACTTCTGGAGCTCCAACCGGCAGGTCGCGGTGTACAATGCAGCCTGCCAGCCAGGTCCGTGCGGGGAGCCTCCGTTGGCATGGGCTCAGGAGAGAGGGAGCCGCCGGCCTGCTCATTGGTCGCTGGGTGCCCTCCGGCGCGCGTCGCTCCTGGATCACCCTCCGGGGAAATGGTGGCGCTCACTCCCCAGCATCCCGATGGTGGGCCGCATCCGCCAGCTCGATAGCCTCCACGAGCTCCAAGGTGGTGGTTGGGTTCTTCATTCCAACTGCCTGTCGGTGAGATCGGGAAGGGCTCGGAGAAGACAGTCTATCACCACGCGTTCCGCCACCTGACTCGCCGATGGAGCCCCCTCCAGCAGCCAGTGCTGCGCGAGTCGCGTGAGTTCGGCGGCCTGGGCACGGGCCGGCAGATGGGGCTTATATTCCCATTCGTGGAAGTACTGAGTGGCACAGATCGGGGATAACCCCAGGCGGGCTAGGATTTCCCTCTTGACCTCCTTATACTGATCGGCGGAGGCAGCGGGAAGAGCGAAGTATGCACGCTGGGCTTCACCCGTCAGCAGGTGAGCCAGCACCCGTGCCCAGTCGTCCGTATGCCATCCTTCCGAGGTTGCCGTTGTTTCAAACATCTGCAAGAATGCTTCCACATCATCATGGGGGGTCAGCTTGGGTAGCAGCTTAGCGGCTTGTACTCGGGGGTCAGGCAGCGGAATGCGTTGAGCGGCGGCGGCCCGAAGAGCCACGAGCTCCTGCTCTGTCTCCCCTTGACGGGTGGCGAGGTGAGGAGGGAGGAGCGCTCACCTGTGACACAAAAAAACCCGGAGACAAAAAAAAGGAAAAAAAGGTGAGGTGAAGGAAATCGCTTGTCGGTGGATGGCTCAATAAATGCCCCGGAGGGTGGATTTATTTACAAGTGGGTGCTCCGGTGCCGTGAGTGCTCTCGTCCTTCTTCCCAGTGCAGTGGGTCCGTGCTGTGCTCCTGTGGGGCTGGTCGGTCACACGCTGCTGTCTGTGGGAGAAATGAGAGGGCGAGTTAATGCTCAGTCTCATGAAGAAGTCTCTCAGAAGGCGTATGTGGCTTATGTAGCCGCCGCCTGATGAGCTGCAGCTGTGACCGATCAGCCTGTGATGAGGACAGGCAGGTGTTCCTCGCTTGTTGCCAGGGCGACGCTGATGAAGCTACGGGACGCCCGTCACAATATATACACAGTGGTGCTTGAAAGTTTGTGAACCCTTTAGAATTGTCTATATTTCTGCATAAATATAACCCAAAAAATCATCAGATTTTCATGCAAGTCCTGAAAGTTGACAAACAGAACCCAATCAAACAAATGAGATGAAAATATATACTTTGTCATTTATTTATTCAGGAAAATTATACAATATTACATATCTGTGAGCGGCAAAAGTATGTGAATCTCTAGGATTAGCTGTTAATTTGAAGGTGAAATTAGAGTCCATATGTTCAGAGGTGTTTTTAATCAGTGAGATGACTATCAGGTGTCAGTGTGTGCCCCGTTTTTTTTTTTTTAAAGAACAGGGATCTATCAAAGTTTGGTCATGTTTGTGGAAGTGTATCATGGCACAAACAAATTAGATCTCTGAGGACCTCAGAAAAAGAGTTGGTGTTGCTCATCAGGCTAGAAAAGGTTTCAAAGCCATCTCTAAAGAATTTGGACTCCACAAATCCACAGTCAGATTGTGTACAAATGGAGGAAATTCAAGATCACTGTTACCCTCCCCAGGAGTGCTCCGCCAACAAAAAACACTTTGAAGCCTAGTGGACTTTTACACGTCTTGCTTTTAAAGGCCTGCAGGCTAACTTCTAAACAACTAAAGGCCTTTCTCACATTGGCTAATGTGTTTATGAGCCCATCATCAGGAGAACATTGAACAACCATGGTGTCCATGGCAGAGTCGCAAGGAGAAAGCCACTGCTCTCCAAAAAGAAAATTGCTGCCCATCTGCAGTTTGCTAAAGATGATGCGGACAAGCCAGAGGAATAATGGAGAAATGTTTTGTGGATGGATGAGACCAAACTAGAACATTTTGGTTTAAATGAGCAGCGTTATGTTTGGAGAAAGAAAACACTGCATTCCAGCATAAGAACCTTATCCCATCTGTGAAACATGGTGGTGGTAGTATCATGATTTGGTCCTGTTTTGCTGCATCTGGTCCAGGACGGCTTGCCATCATTGATGGAACAATGAATTCTGAATTATACCAGCAAATTCTGAAGGAAAATGTCAGGATATCTGTCCGATAACTGAGTCTCAAGAGACTTTCTCTTCATGCAGCAAGACAACGACCCCAAGCACACAAGTCGTTCTACCAAAGAATAGTTAAAGAAGAACAAAGTTAATGTTTTGGAATGACTGAGTTCAATTCCGGACCTTAATCCAATTGAAATTTTGTGGAAGGACCTGAATGTCAGTCCTGTGTTCCCATGTCTTGTGTTTTTCTCCCCATGTTCTCCCCGTTGGATGTTTATGATGTGATTTATTCCTGTCTCGTTTGGTTCTAAGTTCTTTAAGCCCTGTGTTTTTCTGTGTCTAGCGTCCAGTATTGTTCGTCTATCCCCTCTGCTATGCGTGCTTTGCTTTGGTTTTGTATAAATAAAGACTTACTTCACGGATTCCCCTACATCTCCTCGCACCTTTGCTCCTCGCTCCGTCAGAGTAGCAGCAGCATTGTGACAGAATACCAGACCAA